GGCCCCGAGGGCTGCTGTTTGCAGAGCTGTATTTCCTTTCGGTTGTCTCCTGAATTCACAGCCACTGCACAGTGCTACAGCCGCCTTCTGAGTGAAAGGGGAGAGATGAGCTACAGCCCTGCAGGGACACCATCAAGGGCCTACCTGTAAGGAAGCATTCCGACCCCTAGCCGCGGAGGACAAACAGCATCATTCGTTCCTTTTAAATAAAGGTTAGGTAAGTTTGGTGATGCCCCATCTCATCAAGAGAGGAATCGGAAGCCTTTTTCATGAAAACAACTCTCAGTCCTGGAACCGTAGCTGTCGTGTAAGCAGCTAAGTTGGGGTCAAGATTAAATAACTTTAAAAAGTTCCCCAAGGCGGTTCTTAAGCCTGTGTTCAGGATGCTTTCTCTGACTTCCCTCAAAACAGCTGAGCACGCTTTCAGAAGGCTCACAGGAAGAATGAAGCACTTTCGTACTGGGAATCAGATAAAACAGTCACACAGATAGAGAAATATCCACGTGACTGCTGATGACATCCTGAAAAAGTGATAGGAAGAGCCGTAAGAGCCTCTGTATGACTGACTTGGTTTGCTCTAAAGTCAGCTAGTTATCATTTAAATATCCTGAATTATTTTGGGTTAGTACACACATACAAGGGAAGAAGAAAGGCATACAAAATCCTGGCTGGCATGTTACTGTGGCACAGCGACCTGTTTCAGCCTCTCAGGTGAACATGGCTTGACTTGTTATGAGAAGCTTGAGAATACTATCGTTTTAATCCAGTGTCTCTAACGCTTCTATTATTTCTAGTCAGAAAGGGAAAATCGCTTTACTGTAGGTACTGCTCCTTTTCTTTGGCACCATCCCACTCTGGGGAGTCTGGTTTCCTAGCAAGCCAGACCCTCTTCTCCCTTTCTTTTTCCCAGGCTGTGCTGACCCCTCGTATTTTAAACAAGTGTCAAAATAATGCACACAGCTTTTATTCACCAGTTTCTACCTCGTAAAAATTTATTTTGGCCACTGATGCTTCATCAAACAACCAGACTTAAAGTTTAATTTCAAAACACTCTGAGTCAAAAAAAAAAAAAGAAAAAAAAAATGTTTTTAATCTTTCATTCCTTTCATGCAAAACATGAAGGCGCAGAAAACCGCCTTTAACTCCTTAGGGTTTGTTGTTGCAGTGACCGAACTGACCCATTCGAAATGGCCGCTCCAGTGCTGCTGTCGGGTTTTCGGTGTGTGTGCAGCTCTGATGAGATTTTAATAATCCCCAAGTTTCCTCTCTCCTCCCAGCGCAGCCTCTGGTGGGAAGGGTGCAGAGGGTGGGAGTCGTGCTCCACAGGAAACCCACCCCAACCAACACCTGGGTTTCGTTTAACTGCCTTGTTTTCTTTTCCCGAGGGACCAGGACTCTTCCCCCTCGCCAGGAGGAGGTTTGATCAATCTACAGCGAGCTGGCGGCTGCTCCAGTGGGGGACGAGGCTGGGATTCTGCAACTCCCACGCAGGAAAACAGGCAGGAGCAGGCACGGGGCTGTCAAAGGTACACGCACATGGAGAGGTGCCGGTGGGGAGGCAGGGAGTACAAAACCAGCTTGTGCAATGCAAATTTGTGTTGCGGTGCTATTCCTTTTCCCAGCCTTCCTGTTAGGGGGAGAGGTGACGCCTTAGTGCTGCTTGTCAATTATACCGCAGAGAAACGCTGTTTTGTAGTGATGCTTCAAAGCAATTAAGGAAGTTAAATGTTAAACGTATGCTTTTGTCCTTCCAGGTAAACACAAAGTTTTGGAGAAAAAAATCCCCAATATTTAATTATAAAAATCACAGCCTAACTGTATGAACAAGCCCTGAGACTCCTTGCTATAAAAAGATTTTTAATCTCTTGCGTAACTGCTTTAACTTCATGCCTCAGGGTGTGGTGCTCTATTAAAATACTAACACATGCAGTTTCTTATTGTAACTCTTCCACCCAGCACTGCCTGGGGAGCAGCTGGGGTGTGCGTTCCCTAATCTGCTTCAGGGAAAATCACTCAAGGTGTATCTCAAAGCACTTACACAAACCAACCCTGTTGAATTTATTATTTTTTTTTTTTCCTTTTCTTTTTTCCCCTGGAGCAGATTAGGGAGTGATGATGTGGAACTTCTCAGCTGGCAGAGATTTGGTGATATTAGCATGAATCCCGTCTAGTTTGAACACCACAAGGAAGGACAAGGTGTTAATTTAGACACGCTGTTGTGCGCAGCAAGCAGTTTGAGTTTCGCTGGCTTTGGGGGAGCATTGGAGGCTTTACGCAAAGCAGTATCCCATCCTTCCCTCTGGACAGGTCTAGGGGAGACGAGCAAACCCTGCCTGGCCTGTCTCCCCCACAGGCGCCAGCGCAAACCTGCTGTCAACTGATTAGGTCACCTTGATTGAGGCATCATGTGTCATGCTTGCTTTTCTTACTTGCTTGGGAGACTCCTGTGTGCTTTATACATTATTCAAAGCCTGGATCCCATCCATCTGATCCCAGTACTAGGGATCTGGCCTTTTTGACTGTATACTGAGGGACCCCTTTGCCACGTTCTAGTCACGGTGAAAGCTTTCTTGTGGCATCTTTCCATGGAACAGGACCTTGTGGCCCTTCCTTTTGCCTATGGGTAGCACCACAAGGAGGGTGTGGGGAGGGAGGCCACTAGGTTGCATTAACTACCATATGGTTAATTAACCACCATATGGTTAACTGACCACCATGATGGGTGGCAGCCAAGCCTGCCAAGATGGAGAAGACCCTGTCCACATAAGCCCTCCTGAACTCACCTTCCCTGTCCTTCCCCAGGCTCTGTCTCATCTCTGCTGCCCACAAGCGTTGAGCTGGTCCTGCTGTTTCAGGTTCTTTCACTGTTCCCGTGTCACAATGTCAAAGAAATTCTCTTCAGAGGTAAGTCAAGGCACCAATACAAGTTCTTCTCACCACTGCCTAGCAGGGAGAAATACAGAGCTGGGGGTAGCACCTATTTAGTTGGAGAGCTTCCATCTGAGAGCCTGTGCTTGATACCCGACCTCAGTGTCACCCTGTCTGAAATTATTTCTGTAACTTCAGCTTATTGTTTCCATTGGCACGTGGGTTTGTTTTACATAGGTATCTTCTGCAAAGCAACACTTAACATGCTTCGCTGGGTCTAAGTGGTGTTCTTGACTCGGGAATTTCTTTTGCCTTGTATAAATCTGATTTCAGTCTGTTGCCAGGATCACACACCTCTTTGAATAGGAAGATCTGTGCAGCATCTGGTGACAGCGTGTATGTTGATTTAAAGCTTTCTCCTTCTGAGCACGCAGAGATTTTTCCTGGAGCAGATAGAATTATTTAACAGCCTCTCTGGCTTCCTGCCCACACCAGCCCCAGCTTTTGAGATGGTCCTTTGACTGCTGTTCCCCAGTCAGACCTTGTTCTCCAGCCTGAGACAGTCCTTGTTCCCACGACCTACGAATTTTGTAGGCAGCCCCAGCTCTATCTGCTCTTTTTCTTGATCTTCCTTGGAGTCCGCTGTTGTCTTGGCAAAGAATAACGGAGCTTTTCTGCCTGCCGGCTTCGGAAGATGATGGCCCATCGTGACTACCCTGGCCCCTCCTGGTCACACTGCCATCCACTGTCCCCAGCTCCGTGGCTGGTCCATAACATAATCCACTTGGCCACTTCTAGCTCTTAATGTTTCTACAGCTGTAGTCAAGTGCTTGACACTTAAATATTAATGTGCTAATTAATAATGAAAAACCATAATTGTAGTTGGGTGTACAATTTTAATTGGGTGAGGAGGTAGCAGAGGTGCAGTCTATAGAACAATGAAACTGTGCTTTTAAGATATATGTACATATATTTAAGTATGCTTCCCTCTAGCAATAACATTGCACAAGAAAAGTATCCTGTGTTTGGATGTCTGTGAAGATGTTTGCTTGCGACGCTTGGAAGCTCGGAGCAGGAAGTCATAAAGTATTAGGTATGATTTTTCTTTTTTTCAAAGGGGTTTTAAAAAGTCCTGTTAAAAAAAAAAAAAAAAAGGTTTTCATTCCTAGACTTTAAAAATGGAGGAGGGGAGGGGAAAATTCCTGGAAAGAAACGTATTTATTTTCCACTTCAGACAGGCCAGTCTGCAAATGCAATATTTGTTGCTGTCCTACAGTAGCTGAAGGTATTGCATCCAACCACGTTTATAAAGTCACAGCAAGCCAGTGATAATAAAAACAGTGCTGTTGGGATGCATGGTACCAAACAAATCCGGGATGCTCTGCATAGGGAAGGTTAGATCCATGCGCAAGTCGAAAAATTTGCCACCAAATCCCGTCTCTCTCCCTCTCTCTGTCTGAGGGATTGCTTTCCAGCACCACAGAAACAAACTTTCTTTGGCTGAGGGAAGGGCCGGTGGAAGCCGGCCGGAGCGGGACGTAACCGCAGTGTGTTTCTCAACAATCGCTCCCCTCTTTCCTGACAGCCGATCCCGCGCCTGGCGGCGAACTCCTTCCCTTGCAGCACAGAGGAGGAGAAGCCGAGGGATGGAGCCACCGCGTGTAGCAGCCCGCTTCTTCCACTGCGAGCTCCTGTGATGGAAATCTTGTCCTTCTTCTCATTGCCCTGGTCACTGAGATCTGGCGCTCCCCCTTTCTGACTTGGCCTTCAGACCTGCATCGCTCGCCCGAGGGTAGGGAGAGGTTTGTGTAGGAGACCATCTTCCAAGTATATACGCGCTGGGGCTGCTTCTCCCCTCCCCCCACCCAAATAAAGAGGGGAAGAAATAATAGTAAGTGTTTAGTCTTGAGCAACACTTTGTGCAATAAAAAGCAAGATGCAGTTGAGGGAGACCTGGATGGTGGGTAGCGGGTTGGTGAAGAACTACGGGAGGTGCCCTCAAGAGCTCTGAAGAAAGGGAGGGAGGGATTTTTCCATGGTTTCGATGGGCTGACTCCAGGAATAAGTGGGAACAGGGTGGGCAAAAGGGACGAAAAATGATCAGGAACAGCAAATGGAGCAGAACCGATGGAGAAAAGTGTTCTAGATGGTGAGGAGGAGCTGTGGAGGAACGGGGATGTGTAGGCTGCAGTTAGGGAGCACGTATGGTGCCCGTGTGCCCCTTGGGTGGTGGGGGCGACCGGAATAGCTGTGCCTCGTGTCAACCCGCTGCTCCACCGCCTTTCTTGCCGTCATATTTTTTTTCTGAGAATGTTTCTGGGCTGTTCAGCGGTGACTCCTGCTGAGAGAGGTCAGCGTTGCACCAGCTGTGCCTTGGCTGCCAAACTTCCACTGATGCCTGATTAAATCGAGGCTGGAGCGTTATTTTTTTACTGGGAATGTGTAAGCATAGGGAAATGACTGAATTATTATTTGCGATAGCATGGGCACAGATGTACAAATTCTGTTCACGCTGTAGAGGTTTGTTTTTTTTTTTAAAGGAGGTATAGTGTTTGGGACTGAACATAGTCCTTAAACTATAGTGTAATAGGGCTGTATAGTATAATAATAATAATAATAACACTTTTCTGTATAACATGGAATAAATAAGGCCATACGTCACCGAAGCCAAATACCTCTGAATATCGTTGTGCATAAGCATCTTCGCCACAGCGGCCCCTTCCCAGGGAGCGCTGCTGCGTGCAGCCACAGCTCGCTATTTTTAATGTCTTTCAAAGGTGCCTCTTGCCTCTGACCTCGCCCTCCCCCGCAGCGGTACAACCCCACCCGCCCCCTGGAGCGGCGGCTCCCGCTCCCCGCCGGGCAG